CTAAATATTTCAGAAATAGAAATTAAAATTCTTCACCATGAAGAAACGATTCTTCGCGAGTAGTTGAAGCATTTGATTGGCTGAAAAAGTGGGTTATGTTCTAAACGCTTGCAGATATTGAGCTGATTTTTGGATGAGTTGCAGATCAAATTTGAATTTTGTTCCACTTTATTGACTTTTGAGGGAATTACAGCCATTTTCATTTTAAAAGGGTTTTCCGCATTTTTTCTAAACGTTTGCAGATATTACCCTGATTTTGGGGTATGTGAGTGTATTTTGATGAGTTACAGATCAAGTGTGCATCATGTTCAATGATTTTTTTAATGGAATTACGACATTTTTCAAAATTTTTATTAGAAACCAAATTATAGTTGCCGGTAGGGGGGAGGGGGCTAATATTGTTTTATTTACATGCCTATGACATGTGCTTTTTTCATGAACATTCTCTTTCTGAACAGGAATAGAGTTTCTAAAACATTCCATTCATCCAAAGACACCACCGTAAACTGTTTATTTTAACTTATTTACATTTGCTAGACATACGTACAAATGTTCATGTAGTATGAATATTAAGTTTTAAGATTGAAGATCATCTCCTAGGTCTGGTAGCGTCTTACAATTTAGATTATTGGTCTTCTTACACAAACCAAGTAATTTTGTCGATATCATGACAGTTTCGCTTCCTATTTTAAAGAAAATAATATTTAAATTATTCTCCGGTGCTTATTTCTCAAGAAAGAAACAACCCTGCATGAAAACACTGTTTTTTGACCAAGAACATCAGTACCAGGGTTGCTAGAGGAGACAACACGGACCCAGATAGAAGATCCTGACGTCATTTCCGTTATCAACCGTTTACAACTTCTGCTTCGAAAGTTTTATGAGGACCACATTCCAATCCAAAGTAGTATATATAGAGCCCAGAGATGTCGACAGTGAACACGCCGGTATAGTGGTTAGACCTGGCCCCGAGGTTATAAAACTTTTTGGAGTTCAAATTCGTACTCAAACTCAGACTCCGTACTCCAAATTCATACTCGTACTCCAAAGTTGAGGTTATAAAAAATCATTATACTCATACTCAAACTCCAACGGAGTACAAACTCAAGATTTTTCAAGTATGCTCTAAACGAACCCCAGAGTCAATCTCATATTGGGTTATTTCACCCTATCTACCGGCTTACATGATCCGTTTGCACCATAATTCTTGTTCGCCATACGGATTACCCCATCGTAAATATTCTACGTCTACATTATCATTGGATTTTAGTTTTTTCCTTCTTTTTTAATTATTATTTAAGTTATTGAAATGATATATATACATGTAGGTTTAACTGTTTAGTCCAGTCGTTTGACCAGTTGCGAACCACAGGCCTGACGAATGGGTGATGTAATCCCCCTTCCCCCAGAATCCGAGAATTTTCATTAAATACAATTTTTTTTTCTGAAATACATGACCTTTTTATATACCATATAGGTTCAATCTCCAAATCTTACCAGAAGCGTAAAATGATAGCAGATATTGAAATATAAGAATGATAGACTAGGAAATCATGTATTTTTGATAAGGTTTTGTGTCTAAATATTTTTTCAGAAGCTGGGGGAGGGGTGGGGGTGTTACACCATCCATTTTCAGGCGCCTGTGTTCTGAACAGGGAACCAATTTGGCGATGCATTAGATAAATTATGACATTATTTCAAAATCTATGTTGCAGCCTTTGTTTATTATTTTTTTTTAAATTCTTTTACTCTTACTTTGCTTTCATATTTAGAATTAAATTACTTAAAAATTGTTAATAAATAAGAGTATCACATCGATTGGTGTTTTTTTTTTATCTATTCTGAATGATAAAGTGCTGTATAGGAAATTGAAAAACATGTATAAACAAAAAATCATGAAATTCAATAAGATCAAAGAAGTGGACCGTGCATACACTTTTCAATGAAAGAACTTTTAAAAGAATGTTTAATGATTTTGTATATTTAAAATATGCATGAAAGAAAATTATTAATCTTTTTTTTTTAACTCCTGTGTAGATTGTGTGTTTCTTTCCATTTTTGGAATGAGAGAATGAAGCAGGCGTTTATTTACATTTGCGGATGTACATAAATTGCCCTCATATGGCATATACCGGGCACTTTCACGTGCATGTCCCCTCATTTGAATATGTCAGTTTACATAATTTTTACCTCCAGTCCAAAAGCTAAAGATTTCCTTTTCCAGAGTTTGAGTTCTTACTCCAAATCAGTTGAGTTTGACTCAGTGGAGATTGTACTCCAAATTTTTATAACCTCAAAAGAAACGTACTCAGTGGAGTTCATACTCAGAGTTTGGAGTTTGAGTTGGAGTATGAGAACGCTTAAAGTTTTATGACCTCGGGGCCTGGATCCTACATTGCTGTATACCTTGTCATAGATAATGGTCTGTTTGCTGACTAGGGGATCACTTACATATCGGTAGGCTGTAAATCCTACACGTTGTGTAGAGCCGGCGTCTAAAAGTTAGAGAAAATTCTGTATTGATTTTGTCTATAACGGCATAAATACGTTAATACTGTATGATATTGTGTTTATATGAACCTACTAATCAGTCTCCTCATATGAGGTGTAATGGACTCGGAAACAATATTTTCGCTGGTCCTCGCGTCATCTGATTTGCTGCTAAAATGAAATACAAGTATTGGTCGGTCAAATCTCTGCCACAAAGGCTATTAATAACACTCTAAAATTAAACCTTCTATAGGATGGTAGATTTTAAAGATTGTTTAAACTTACATAAATTGCAGACTTTACATATTCTATAAATTATAGAAAGCAAAGCGGATTTTCAGATATATTCGGTGCTCAATCTCTTATTCTAAATGAATGGATTATAGCTGGATAAAGTTAATTGCTAAACCTACTCTCTATCATTTAAGTATATAGCTAAAATTCAAACATCACAATTCCTGTTAAAAAGGAGAAGGGATTACTGAACGTGTACGATATAGAAGTTAGAAAATAAAATGATGTTCAACTATTTAGTAACTAGCTCGTTTGTTGGTCAGCAATTTTATTATTAGTCTTAAAGACGTCGTCAGAATATCTGTAACTCCCCACCCACCCCCACTTTTATTTTATTTAGTATGAAAATATAGGACTTTAATGAGTCACATTGTATTGTCCTTCCTGCATAAATTTTATAATTGACGACAGTATTTCTTTACCTGAAGGCACCAGTGTTTTCCTGCTTAGAAACAGCCAGTCCCAGGCTGTAAGATTTCTGAGGAGCCAAGACTTGCTGTTTTCTTTCCCGTTCTTGATGTTTGGTCCCAGCTTCGCTAAGTAGCAGTATCTCTTGACCCTGTTTCTGCACGATTTGTTTCAGTTCAATAATCTCAGCATTCTGCTGTTGAACTATTGATTTCAATTCAGAGACTTCCTTCATAACACTTAGCAAGACTGAATCTTTGTCAGCACACACGTTCAGTGTCCACATAATGAAAACACAACATAGTGAGCAGAACAAAGCCATTTTACTTCTTTACCATAAAGGAACTATAATTTTAAGTACATGTACTTTCGCTACATATAATATAGAGATAAGACTTTTATCAATGCACGATATTTTAAAAGGTCGGACAAGAAGACATGAATTCGTGAATAATGTATGTTCTTGGATAATCAGGCCTGTAGGAAGCAATATCTGTATGTTTGTGTGTGTGTGGGAGGGAGGGGGGGGGGCATAGTCATATATTACAAAAAATCCCCAGTCGGATCACCTCATCCTTTGCCGTCGCTCTCTAGAAATCTTTTGGGTGGGGGAGGTTTCTAAGGCCATGGATTATGCATGATTTAATTTTTCTACTTTAACAAATAAAGAATTCCCTCTATTTATGAATCAGTCGAAATCGATACCAGTGACCCAGATGTAAAAAGAAAGGGGTCCACACCCCGTTTAGTTACTATGTTCAATTGTGACGTTACATATGCTGTTTGTAAATTATCTTTTCTGACGTCACAGAAATGTAAACTATTTAGTCTTGGACACAACATGGAGTATGGATAATTCAGTTTCCAACACCAACAATTTTAATAGGTTTGGCTCACAAATGTGTAAAGTAATGCCAGTTGTTATTATGGTACACATTACATATATATGTTAATAAAACTTTTCTCTTCTTTTACCTATTTCCGTTTAGAAATTTCAAATTTCAATTGAGTAACTCTCTTATGTTTGCTAAAAAAATTGTTATTCAAAATACAACTTACTGAACTAAGTATATATAATTCGTAGAGCTCTGTATGCAGTGGCGTAGCATCGTTTTTGAAAGTGGGGGGGGGGGGGGGCAGCCGGAGAAATTTTTTTTTACTTACCTGAAAACGTTGACAAGCCAAAAAAAAAAAAGTTGAAAGTTGCCCAAACTCGAAAATCCTATTTCTAACTTTTTTTCAGTGTCAACTACTTTTAGTACCAATTCCAAAACTAAATTACTTAATTTTCGGTACATCGCTAAAACTGGGGGGGCCAACAAGGTTTTCAATTAACATTTGCTATAGTATAGGTAAGGTTGGGAAAAAAAGTGGGGGGGGGCCTGGCCCCCCCTGTTGCTACGCCCTTGGTATGTACATTTATCCCGCTTCAGACAAATTTGTCGATTACTGATTGGATAAAAGCTAATCACATGACGCCCTGAAATTTTCCGTATTACGTCTCCGTTTCCATATTACGTCTCCGTCAAGGCGTAATATGAAAATCGGGCACGCGATTCCGTTCGAAGCGTTGTTATTGTAAATAAAAATGGCGGCTAAGAAACGGTAAACGTGGGTAGTTTAGTTAAATTTCTTGTAATGGTCACGATATTTTATGTTGATTGTTATTGGATTAAAACTAATATTATCATAATATGCACAAATATTTTTTTTATATTGAAAAAGGTCTTCAGCGGGATAAATTCGTTACACAGTCAGTTAGTGACCTAATACGGATTCATACAGGGTGTGAAATGGAAATCCGTATTGGGACTCGGCTTCGTCTCGCCCAATACGGATTTCCATTTCACACCCTGTATGAATCCGTATTAGGTCATTAACTGACTGTGTAACTAATAGTACTTGCCAATCAAAAATTGAATATGCTAGTAAATTAATGCTGTTGGTACTAGCGCTTACTGACGGAAGAAATGCACATAAATGAGTTATTTTAACACCATAATAGATGACCATATATTTGGCCCTAGTTTGCAATGATGACATGCATAATGCCTACAGAATACTGGATCCGTTTGTATCAATATTTAACGAGTGATTAACGCTTCATTAAGCTGATCATTTTTAATGTGTCGTTAAATTACGTTGTATAAATATCTATTTTTTGAAAACAATATTATTATAATTATTCCTTGATATAATCCCGAACATGTGCCATATTGTTCGACTCAACCATCGTACCAATTACAAAAAAGCCAGTCCGTTGGCTCATCCACTTGTGGAAACAGGCAAACCTAGATGGCATGAGAGAAGACCTCAACCAGTTCTCGACGTAGTTTACAGCTAACCAGGGGCCCACTCGATTGGGACCCTTCTAGAAGCAGAAGGGAATGTCAGAAGGGTTGGAATATATGTGATAGGGTGATTTATTTCTTATTAATCATTATATTTCAGGATTAAATTAATTCAGTTGAATTATCATATTTATTTCTTTTCAGCATTTCATTTATTGAATAAATCCACATGGAATTATTTACATCAATCTGTGTTCATTGAGTTATTTATATATGTATGTGTGACATCACAGTTGGTAGAGCACCTCATTTAAACCCCTGTCGCCTTTTCCTCTCCCGTTATTTATCTTGTGGAATTGCAGGTGAAAGTCCTGCCAGGGGCCAACTTGGGTTGTGTTTCGAGGGCGAAGACCATTAAGGAGGGAGGGTAATGGTCGGGCCGTGGATATCGGCCTGGATAGCTCAATCGGTAGAGCACTCTCTTTACAGGGGTGGTTTTTCCAAAAAAAAAAGAAAATGTATGGCTAAGTTAATTACTAGTCAGGTGCTCTACCAACTGAGCTATCCAGGCCGATATCCATGACCCTAACCATATTGTTTTTTTTGTATATTTGTCTATGACTGAAATTATGACCAAATCTGTAACAGGAAAGGAGAAAATGCATGGCTGGACAGAATGTAAGTTGACTTTTACTAATGCTCTACCAACTTATCCAGGCCGATATCCATAACCATGTACATATGACATCACAGTGGTCATTTAAACCCCTGTCCCTTTTCTATTTATATATATGTAGTGTCAGGGCCAACTTGGATTTCATTGGTTGGTTAGGAATTCCCTCTCTTTTGGTTTTTAGCTAAGTTAATTACCGATGGTCACCAGCAGACATATTGGTTTTTTTGTACCGTATAAGTAGAATTTTTAGCGAGGATTTAACTGAAATTAATTCAGTTGAATTATCATATTTATTTCTTTTCAGCATTTCATTTATTGAATAAATCCACATGGAATTATTTACATCAATCTGTGTTCATTGAGTTATTTATATATGTATGACATCACAATTAACGTTTATATATCTTGTGTAGTGTCAGGGCCAACTTGGATTTCATTGGTTGGTTAGCCCAAACCTCTCGTAAGTTAATTATGCCGCGACATGCAATAGGTTTTTTGTACCGGTATATTTGTCTATGACTGAAATTATGACCATGACCAAGACTGGACAGAATGTACGAGGGCTGTTCAATAAATAATGTCCTCGGTGCTCAGAAAGAAGCAAACGACGATTTTCAATGATTTAATCTTCATGATTTTACTTATTAATCTCTTTTAATTCAAACACATGTCCGTAACATTTTTTATCCAATTTCTGATTGTTTTTAGAACTCATTTCTGGGTATGACCCTTGGTATACTGGAAAATGGCAGATCCAATGATTTCCTGGACTTGTTTTTTCCTTCTGAAAGGTGTTTTTTTCAAGTTTGGAAATAGAAACAAGTCAAAAGGTCAAAGATCTGGCAAATATTGTTAATGTGAAAAAACATGAACTTTCTGTTGATCAAGAAAACCCCTTTATCTCAGGGCATGCAGGTTTGATTGATTGAAATTCAATGTATGGATTGTTCTGGGTCCTTCCTCTAATAAACCTTTCGATTTTTTTTGACAAAAAATTTTTTCACTCAGATATTAAACTGTCTCCCCGAATACCATTTGCTAATATTTAAGAAAATTGCATATAAATTTTGTGCTCTTGCATACCTCTGCTTTTGTCAGACCTTCGCCGTTTTTATAAAGTACATCATATGGTAAATTTTGTTTTGATGATTTTAAGCAATAGATTCATGTTCCAATATCTGTTTAAATATAAAACAAACGTGGGCACTCTGATATTTTAAAATAATTGTTAAGAAATTCCTACACGCTGTCGTTTTGACTAATTTTTCAAAATATAGGGTGACCTTTGAGTACCAAGCTTTTTTACTTTCAAACGTTTCTTAAAAACAGTGTAGATTACTCCCGATATGATGTCTATCAAATTTGCTATGTGTCTTAAAGTCAATCATACATCATCAAATATTAAAATCAATACATAAATAATTTTTGTTGGCAAGGAGCGTACCCATTTTTGATGCCCATTATATAATTTTTTATCATTGAAATCCATCTGATCATTTGTCTATAAATCAGGCATCGGTTGCTGTAAATGACACATATTTCAGTGAATATTTATTGTGACGTCAAGTTTTACAACGCTTTAATTTAGCCTTTATTTTCACTCTAGCACCATCTTTACCTTCGGCGTGTCAGACCATCGCACTTTAGCGTCGCGCTTCTCACGATGAAACTATGTGATGAAAAGTGGTCACATAAACTGTTATAAATTCAGTAAAGATTTAATAATGAGAGGAAGTCAAGTTTAATGTCATATGATATCTGTATTGTATGTCATACAGTTCAGGACATTATTTATTTAACAGCCCTCGTAAGTTGACTTTTACTAATTTCATTATCTCTATATAATTGTTTATCTGTTTAATTCCCAAATATTAATATATATAAAGTATGAAGATTCAGTCTTTGTAATTATTTTATGAGTGTGTAAATAATAAAAAGTAATGATTTCATATATCAGTGTATTTTATATTTTTGAGAGCAATACAGTAAAGTTGTTTATTATTTATATACAGATCACTGAGTAAGAGTTCATTCATCATTTGTATTTGGAGAGTGTTGGCTCTATATCACATATAGGTATGATGTATATATATATATATTTTGAATATTGTCCATATAATTATATTTTTCTGGAAGAGTTCAATATAATTTGATCTTAGTGTTTTATCTATGAACTCCAGAGCAGTTGTACTTTGTACGTATTATTGATTAAGAAAGACAACTGTTAATGTTTTATCTGTGAGCACAATTAAAGGGCAATAACTCTTATTTTGACCGTGCTATCTGGCAAGTGATCTATATGTATGTATTGTTATCAAATATTTATGATTGTTTATATATATTTCAGAGCTGTGATGATACTGTGAATACACT